CGCCCGGCCCTCGACAAAAACCAGAGCTTCAAGGTGATAGAACAGGCTAACATGATGAGTCCTCTGGCTAAGAGTCGTCAGCATGAGACAGAAAACTTGTGTAAGATTAAATATCAGCTGGACCAAAACATCGACGCAGCACTGAAACATTTTCTTGTTGTTCTGTTTTTGAACTCAACTAATCTGACTATTTTTGTGAGGAATAATGTCCTATACCTAGATAATGAAACCATCATCCATCACTCCATCTATCAGTTTTGTGTCATCAGGGTGGCTGGGGCTAAGTACGGTAGCCTAGGCAAGTCCTCCAGCTGCTCCAGGGGGTGAGACATTCCCAGGTCTGCCCTGAGCTCTCACGTCCCCAAAATATATCCAGAGAGATGTCATGTGTAATCCTTGTGTTCTGGGTCTACTCCAAGTTTCCTCCCAGTTGGACATGCCTGGAGCATCCTGACATCCTGATTCACATCTTAACTGGCTCCTGAAGGAGCAGTGGTTCTTTCTGGATGTCTGAGCACGCCACCTTGTCTCAACACAGGGCTTTCAAAACAAAAGTGAAGTTAGAAATTGTAATACTTTCTCTTGGACGGCTCTTATGCTACTATTTTATTTGCCAGGTTTTGTGGCCAAAGGTCAATTAAATTGCACATTGGACACCTGAATTTATTATTCTCTAACTCTACTGATCCAGTTGCACCATGCTGAACGTCTGCAACTGACTGGTTAACAGTTCCTTCTGAATGAAAATGAGCCTTTCATATGACGGTTTCTGGTTTTATCCTTGTGTATTATAGTGGGAGACAACTGGAGGCCATCAGTGAGAGAAATCACTGACTGTTCAGCTTATGTGAATCAGTACACAAGAAGAGCAATGGAAGTGAGCAAAGTAGCAACTGCTTTGTGTGTTCTAGTGTCACCTTTTGGCTGTGACAGGCAACATGAGGCGATGCAAGTCGTCTCTTGTCGCTGCTAGTCCTTTGATGTCAGTTTGGATTGTCTGAACAATAATGACGGTCCCTGGTCACTTTCTCCTCTCTAAGCTGTGAAAGATGGCAAGCTATGATAGGTTACACGTTGTCTGCCATGTCTGTTAATCACGTTATAGCAAGATTCACTTTGTTAATCCCCGATGTGGACATAATTTTTTCACTCACACAAACTCAGGTCTTGTAGATATGAAAATGGGATTGATGGGCTGCCACATAGCGGCACATTGGAGCCCTCGGCAGAGCCCAGGAAGTGAACTGGCACCTCTCCAGCTACAAGTTCACACTTCATACTTTTCCATCTACAGGGAACCAGCTTTACTGGTCTTTGTGCTTTGTGCAACGTCCATCCTTGATTCCAGAAGTTCTGTTTAAAACGGGTGGAAAATGGTTTGTTAAATAGCACGAAGGTTCCAGAGCTAATTTGTTTGAAAAACACTAACTGTGGTCCATGCTGGACTTGAACCAGCCATCCTCCAGTTCCAAAGTCAAGTCCCTACAGACTGAGCTACCAACAATCACTTAATCTGGCACAGTGGGCAAATTAAGTGATTACACAATTGTTTAGTTAGCTTTGCCTGCACTAGGACGACCTGCACAGATCTTCAAGACATGAAAAGTTGATGAATTCTGCATTAGGTGGCCCTTACAGCCACACGGATTCATTAATATGTCCTCCAAATGTTTTTTGTGATTAAAGTCCTTGATTATGCGGACGTTTTCTTAAAAATGCGATGGAATATGGGAATATTTATGATTTATGTGATGAAATTGTGGGAACTGGGTTTGATGAAAAAGAAAGTGATTCCCCAACTCTCTAGGCTACTACCTTAATGTAAAGAGTCATTTTTATTACTTCCTTTTATAAAAAATACTACTAGAAAGGGGAATGTTTAAGTTCTCATCTTGTTTTATTTCAGACCTTAATAAACACATGGCTCAAACTTACAAAACATTGATGAGTCAAACAAGTTCTGTAGCTTTGCGCGGTCTTTTGCGCTTATTTTTGTTGGCAAATAAGACTGATTTGCGGGCTTAATCATGGCTTCATCATGGCTTCATCACAGGTTTGCAGGTTTTCAATGATGTTCATGTTGCGCAATTACGTCACTTCATAACGTTCCCATGGCAACAGGGGAAAATGGCTGCTCTTGTGTGAGGTAAACGCAACATTTTTCAACTTTCTGCTAAGATATATCTGACTTTTTTGCAACGAAAATGCGGGGATTATGAAATCATGCAAGCCATGCATATTTTGCGCAGAAATCTGCAATTTATGCGGCGACAGTGTGGCGTATTTGAAAAAATGCGGCATAAATATGCGGGGGCCACATACAGCTAAACTAATTTCAGCAGCTTGTATCTTGCAGATCTCGGTCTTCGGTGAGGGTTAGGGTTACTGACTGGGTACTGTTGGCATCGTTCTGTCACGTACCGTCTCGTCCTGACTCACGAACAAGACCACATCATCTGCCAAAAAGTGGAGATGAAGTCCTACGTTTATTATACTGGGCACTCTCCACACCTCAGCACCGCTTAGAGATTCTTTCCATGAAAAGCTCCTCCATATCTGCTGCCAAGGCACAACCCTGGCAGAGCCCAGTCCCTTCAACTGAATCCGAAAAACTGTCTCACCGAAGGAAAAATGTCTGCTTTATCTTCCACCAACACAGCTCAAATATTTCTATACACAATATTTACTCATTTTCATCCTTGTCAACAAAATAACAAAAACCCTTCCTCCGAGAGCGATCGGTAGGGGAAACACAAAATGGGAGATCCGCTGTTCCTCCTCCTTGTTTTTACGTCCAGATCAACCCTCAGACTTCACTGACATCAACGGTAGAGAACAAAAAAACCTGAGGATTCAGTGACAGCAGATGATGTCAAGTCATCTCATGTCTGCCACATCCTTTGTGTCGTTTTTTCCCACGTGTCCCCCTTCGGTTCAGAAGTCTCGTTCTCGACAAACAAACAGGAGACAGAGAAGCTGATTATTAATCCAATCCAATAAAAATCGGTCCTGTTCGATGAGCCGTTCCAGTTCGTATGAGCTGTTATTAAGCTCAGAGTCAATAGAGAGCATCCCACATCACTGGGAAACCATCCGCTCATGTAACAGCTTGAACATTTGCCAATTAAACTTGACTGATGACCCAAGTCTATGACTTTGTACTGCTGCTTACTCAGACTTCAATATGAATATTAATGGAATTAATGGAGTATCAATAACTGGGAGTAGGACTCAGATCTTTATGTTGCTAACTTAGAATTTTAAAAACTGCAAACATGAACCATTCAAATTACTCCAATTTAGTTTTTAATTCAGTAGCTTCAGATTTATTAAACAGATCAATCTCTCTACAAAAGCAAATGGACATTAATCCTAAATGGTCAAGCTTTTCCTTTAAGGATGCACACAATATATTTTGGTGAGAATCACTGAGTGTAAATAAATACATTTGTTTTATTTGCAAGAAAATTCCGGGAGACAACTTTATGTCTTCTTACTCTTGTGTAAAACTTGAAAAGAACCACATTTTGGACGTTGTGACACTAATCTGACCATAACATTATAATGTTAATAAAACACCAGCTTTAATGATTAATATTAGCCAAAGGAATCGCTAATTAGCTAGCTTAATAAAGTTTTGTGTACATTAGCTTACCTCGGAGGTAATCACACCTGAGTCAGAAAACCAACCTCCAGCCCAGTTAGCCATTGTTAGCAAAACCAGTTCATAGCAACGCATTCAAAATGTGGTTGTCTTTTCAATGTAGATTAGCTTAGCATATAGCATATTTAAGTACAGGAAAGGTGGAGGTTGGCGGAGGTTCTGACCTTAAAGTTTTGAATTTAGGGCATGAGGTTAGAAAGTGCAGCTCTGTCTCTACCTGTCCTCTGTCACACTGGGAGCAGAGTCTCTCCTCTTCTGGTAGCCAGTTCTGTCTGTGGCGACCCGTTTCTATGGCCAGGCTGTGTTCACTCAGTCTGTACATTGTCAACATTGTTCTTAGTTCAGGACATTTTATTGTGATCAGGTAATTTGCCAGTGTGAATTCTCTTTTTAGGGTCAGATAACATTGTAATTTACTTTGTGTTTTGGTCGTTTCTTTCCAGTATTCAATATATTTTCTTTTTGCTTGTTGATAATTTGGTTTGGTCTGATTGAGTTGGTGTTGCTGTCCTGAGGCTGTTGGGGACATGTTACTGCAGAGAGCCTCAGGACCAGCTGGCTGAGGGGACTCTTCTCTGGTTTCAGCTCCTGGTATGTTAGGGCTTTGTGATGGTACGTCTGGGGGTTAACTGATTTATCTTCTCTGTATTTTTAGTAGGAGGGGGTATTGGCCGAGTTCTGCTCTGCACAGATTATTTGGTGTTTTTCTCTGCACCTGCAGGATGCTCTTACAGAACTCAGTGTGGAAAGATTCTATGATTGTTTTGTCCCATTTGTCAAATTCATTATTTAGTTTTGGTCCCCAAATTTCGCTGCCATATAGAATTATTGGTTCTAGTACAAATTGGAACATTTTAAACCAGATTTTGATTGGAATATAGATTTTAATGTTTCTCTTTATTGCATAGAAAGCTCTCCTTACTTTGTCCCTCAGATCTTTCACAGCCATGTTGAGGTTTCCTGTGTATGTAATGTTGAGATCTCTCTCTCTGTCTGTCTCTCTCTCTCTGTCTGTCTCTCTCTGTCTGTCTGTCTGTCTGTCTGTCTCTCTCTCTCTCTCTTTCCGTCTCTCTCACTCTCTGTCTGTCTCTCTCTCTGTTTGTCTCTCTCACTCTCTGTCTCTCTCTGTCTCTCTCTCTCTTTTTCTGTCTCCCTGTCTCTCTCTCAGGTTGACCTGTACGTGAATCCCCTCCCACCTCCTCCTCTGATGTCACAACTGTAAGGGTGTGTGTGTGTGTGTGTGTGTGTGTGTGTGTGTGTGTGTGTGTGTGTGAGAGAGAGAGAGAGAGAGAGAGAGAGAGAGAGAGAGAGCTTATTTAAAGGGCTGACTCTCTCGCTGGGCGATCGACACCAGCTCAGCATCATCAGCTTACCGCCTGCTGCTTCCAGGGAATAAACTCTGAATATTTCTCCTGAGAGACGTCTGCTGCACAAACAGTCAGTAAGAGAGCTAACTGCTTTACTGTCTGAATTCATTTGGTTTACTGACTGATTGACCAGCCGTTCACTCAGACTAAGAGTTCGTTGTTTTCTTTCTGCTTTACTACTTTACTGACTGACTGGTTCACTGACTGGCTGACTGGTTTACTGACTGACCAATAACTCACATATTGTTGACTAAACTGTAAAATAACTGACCAAAAACTGGTTGTCTGGTTTACTGACTGTTTCTTTCACAGTCTTACTGCTAACTGGCTTTTTCACTGATTTACTGACCGTTAACTTTGTGATTGGTTGACTGGTTTATTTTGTTTGTCTGTTTATTGTTTTATTGACTGGTTAACCCGTTTAGTCATCTCATTCTGCCTGGTTTACTGACTGTTTCCAATATTATTGACTTGTTGTATTGACTGGCTGGTTTACTGAGTTAACTGACAGTCTTCTCTATCATGTGTATTTACTAACTTATTAACTGGTTTACTGACTGACCAATAACTGTTTGACTGGTTTAAATATAGTTTTTCTATTTATTTTGTCTATAAACTGGTGTACTGACTGGTTGATGGTTTTCATTGACACTGTATGACTGAACCAGTCTTTACTAGTTGGCTGGTATTTACTGCCTGGTTACCAGCTGGTTTACTCACTGTTTGAGTGGTTTGCTGACTGGTTTCATACAGTTTATTGTTGTTTAATGTATTATTGTCTGAGAGTGTATAAACTGGTTTACCGGCTGTTTCACTAAGTTAACTGTTGACTGTACTGATGGTTAACTAGTTGACTGACCTCAACTGTTTACTGACTGGTTTACCCATTATTGCTGGTTCCTGTACCATGTGTTAACTAACTGGCTGGTTGATTAGTTGTTTTCACTTTGTGCCTTACTTACTGGCTGTTGATCCAGGCTCATAAATGTTACTCATATTTGCTGACTGGGTAACTGGTTTACTGCCTTGCTGACTGGTTTTAATTAGAGGACGACTAACTGGTTTAATAAATTAACTGTTAACCTGTCTTCACTTGACTGACTTGTCGGACTGTTTCCTGCCTGGTTTACTCATTGACTAACATTGACTGACTGGTTTATGGAGTTGTCTGTAACCAGTATAATCATTCTGTACTAGTACTGACTGAAATTGTTAACCATTTACAACCTGGTTTTCCTGTTGTTTGCCCACTTTGCTGACTGGTTTTTTTACTCCTGTATCCTGTGTACGGTTTGAACTCGTTTACTGGCTGTAAAACCGGATGAGTTAGTTCAACTCAAACTGAGGAAACCAATTAACTTTTGATTTGAGTACTTGTTGCTATGGTAACTTAGTAAATTAAGTATATTTCACTCAGATGTAACTTTTCACCAAAAATGAGTTCACAGAATTTATTGAAATAAAGTAACTAAAAATATACAAATGTTACAACTTAAGTTTAATTTACTTAAAACTGCTGATAAAAGAAATTTACAATGAATAAATTATCCTGATGCTACACAGCGTTATCAATTATATTATGTGATCAATACTTAATAATATTATAGTATTATAGTTAATATTATAATATTATATTTAATTAACTATAACGTTGTAATATTATAATATTATAACATTAAATATAATATTATAACATTATAGTTAATTAAATATTATATTTAATGTTATAATATAACATTATAGTTAATTAAATATAATATTACATTTATTCAACTTATTTTTAGTGCAAAGACTCAGACACTCAAACAGGAAGTTATGTTAACTGCTTTTATTAAAATAAGCTGTCTGATTATAAATGTTTATCATATCTACATATTCAGATTTGTTTATCGACTGTTTATGATCACACGTGGACGTATTTAAAGACTGTTTGTGTTTCAGGTGCAGAAATGTCTCAGCTGTCTGTCCTGCTGCCTCTCACAGGTACACCCTGCCTGTCTGTCTGCCTGCCTGCCTGTCTGCCTGTCTGCTGTCTGTCTGTCTGTCTGCCTGTCTGCCTGTCTGCCTGCCTGCCTGTCTGTCTGTCTGTCTGTCTGTCTTCCTCCTTCAACGTGCCCCGGGGGTAGATGTTAATTATTATCATTCTTTCATTATTGCAGCCGTTTTAAAAGAGTTATGAAATAATAAAAGTCTAATTTATTGATTTTAATATTGATCACTCACCTGCTGATCTCTCTTTCTCTGCAGGCCTTTTATTTCTGATCTCCTCAACGTCCGGCTCAGAATCCAGTGGTCAGTCCTCAGTGTTACCCGTCTGTCTGTCTGTCTGTCTGTCTGTCTGTCTGTCTGTCTGTCTGTCTGCCTGCCTGTCTGTCTATCTGTCTGTCTGGCTGTCTGTCTGCCTGTCTGTCCACAAGGTATACTGACCTGCAGGTAACCGTAGCAACAGTGCTTCTGCTTCCTAACCCGGCCTGACGGGTTAAACTACAAACACACGGAGGACGATTTAAACACCTTTTTCAATCCAGAATCAGCTGTGAAATATTCTCTGATAAATTCATCTCAATGTTTTTGGTGTTTGTTAGTTTGTCTAGTGTGGAGCGGAATCACAGGGCCAATACACTTTCAGTTCATAATAATAATAATAATAATAATAATAATAATAAAGAATCACCTTTTAAAAACAGAGTTTTCCAAGTCCTTTGACAGAGAAACAAATATACGCAAATATAATTAAATATATAAACAATGAATAATACAATAATAACAGGAGAATAGAAGCCATAAAATTAACTGAATATAACATAATAAAATAGATGGAATAAAGTGAAAGAGGTCACTGATTGTCACAGCCACCTAGAGATTAAAGCCAGAACATAGAACATGGAACATACAGAAGGACTTGAGGACCAACGGGGGGTCAACAGGTCTGCCATGTAGCTTGAAGCCAGACGGGCTTTAAAAGTCCATTATAAACCCAACAGAGTGATTACGAGATAGTAACAGCGGTGGTTCTCACCCTGAGGGTCCCGAGTCCTGCCTGGATCACAAGATAAATCTGAGACCGGATGATGATCACTTTTCTGGCTTTACTCCTTAACTGTAGGCATGGCCGGATCAATACTTTGGTACTCACTAGCTACTGATTTGGTATCGATTCCTCTTTTAAATGATCAATAATACAATTATATAAATCAAAACGTTGGTGGCTGAATCATTTCCAAATGTTTTCAGCTGCAATATTTTACTGTTTGTCCCAAAACAGCTCCGACAGATTGAGCTAGTCTGTGTCACATGACTGTGGAAACCAGTGAGACCTTTAATCTGGAAGAGCCACCGAGCAGCAACCGGAGGAACCTCTTCAAACATTAAAAAACAACACAACCTCGTCATATAAGGTTATATAAGGTCATATAAGGTCATATAAGGTCATATAAGGTTACATATGGTTACATATGGTTATAACAGGAAATAAAACACTGTAAAAACTGTCAAACAATGGCAGTAAATCTCTGATATCCGATGGCAAAACCTTTAGGAATTTATGCAGAATAAAGTTTTTATTTTACAGACTGTAAATTACACAGAAAACCACCGTCAGTACATTCATATGGTATTTTCATAGCAAAACTCCCACTTTAACCATAAAATCAACAGTATTAATATAATTTTACCGTAACAGTTGAAAGGTTCTACCGTTTTTTGTTGTAAAAATAACTTTTCTAAAAATGACCGTTATTTTGAAAAGTCACATAACCATTTAAGATAAATAATAGCTATCAGTATTGTATTAAAACCATTGGTATCGCCCATCATTACTTTGTATGTCAGATCTTTGCGTTGCTAATTTTAGCTCTTCGGGCAGATAAAGTGTACCTATAAACAATGTGAGGCAGCAATCTCTCCGTCTGAAGGCTCTTCTCTTCACTTTGATGATTTGTTTCAGTCCCTGTGTGTCTCTGGACGGGCGGAGGTAACTTTAAACCTCACTGTTTGACTTCTTGTTGATCCTCAGATCTTTTCTTTCAGTGTTTATATTGAGCCTGAATCATAAAAATGTCTGAAATTTAAACTAACCGCTTGTCTTTTCTCTCTATAATAGATGAAACAGATGAAAAGCTCCTTTTATCCCGCGTCAATCCGGACTGTATTTCAATGACTCGTTCATGAATAGTATTATTATGTAACAGTAAGCTCTCTTTATCCTCAGTCGTAAATCCAGCTGATTCTCCCAGTGTTCTGAAGGTGTTCTGTGGATTATTATAAGTGTCTGTACAACCAGCTAAAAACATTATTACCATCAATATTTATTTATTAGTTAGCTTTTTACAAAGTGGTTATATTTAGTCTCTTAATTAATCTTAATCACACGTGTTTTTAAAAGTCCAGGTGAAATGAAAAATATAATTCTAACCCTTTAAGATCAGATCCTGATGCATTCAGTCCCGGTCTGGACCTGCTTATTTTCTGTATGAGACCGATTAATGGTTGCTTTTAGATTTGTGCAAAATTCTGGCGTCGCAAATCACACAATTTAGGTCATCGCTGTTACCACTGTACAAATACAACTTTATTAACACTGTACAAATACAACTTTATTAACACTGTACAAATACACAACTTTATTAACACTGTACAAATACAACTTTATTAACACTGTACAAATACAACTTTATTAACACTGTACAGACACACAACTTTATTGACACTGTACAAACACAACTTTATTAACACTGTACAAATACAACTTTATTAACACTGTACAAATACAACTTTATTAACACTGTACAAATACACAAC